CTGGAATTTAGTTAACAGTAACATACCAACATTTTCTGTTTTGACAAATGTACAACAGTAATGTATGATGTTAATGATGGGGGAATCTGGGTGAGGACCATATACAGGAACCACTGCAGTTTTCCCATAAATCTAAAACTCTTCCAAAATAAAACATTTTTTAAGAAAATTAGCCATGTTCAGATGCCATTCAGAAGCTAAAGGGTTCTATCTCTGACGTCAATTTTGGAAAAGCACGGGTTTTTATGCTGTTTGGACCTTTGGTTTCTAAGATTTGCACCTATCTTTGATGGGTGGAAGTTTTAGAACCAATTCCGGCTACAAGCACACAAGACCCATCAGGGCCAAAAACAGGGTAGAGTAGGTGTCAGAGTCCAAACAACCATCTGAGTGTAAAATCAGACCCATACCCTGGGACCAATCTTGAGGCTTACGCCAGGGAGCTGCTCTAACTCCGGGCCCCCATCACTATGCCCTCATACAGGTAATAAGGAGAGATTCCAGGAGCAGAGCTGAGTGGAGGCTGCCCCCTCCCCAATCAGCAGGGGCTGGGGTTACTAATGGAAATTGCCCTCCTTTCCAACCTTCAGCATGCTCTGGCCTGAGCCTAAGAACCAACCTGAGATTTGAAGGGAAGAAACAGAATAATCTTGAGAAAAGGGGTCTGGAGACTTTAGGGAAGACATACTGTGATACCCAGCCAATGGTTCCTTGTGAACCTTAAAACCCATGCAGAAAACTGTTGGTCTGCTCCCCAGCTCCTCTCAGGTAGCCTGGCCCACCCTTCTCATGCTCCCTACCCTTTCAGGCCTCATTCCTCAAACTTTCTGGTAAGGATGCCCATGACTGGCCTTTGGCACCAGGGATGGGGGCGGCAGGGTGGGGGTGGCAGTGAGGAAGCTTCTGTCCCTGCCACCCTTCTTAGGCCTTGAGCAGATTCCCATTGCCTCTTGATTCAGAAAACTGCTTCCAGCCTTCCCTTCATTCCCTTCTTTGCACTCCCCAGATGGTTATTTCAAGCTACCTGTGTGCAAACCTCCAGCAGTCTCTGTGGGTCTGGCTCTCACTCAGGAATAACAGCGGCTGAGGATGAAAAGTGAGGAAATTGCCCAAATTTTCTCTCCTCCACCCCAGTGAACACCACTGTGGTTCTAAGTACTTGACCTTCCCAAGTGCTTCACAGTGTAAGAGGCACACGGGTCATGGTACAGCCCCAGACTACAGAGGCCTCGCAGTGAAGGGTTGGCCCAGCTCCTGGAAGCACAACCCTTTAACGAGTGAAGCGTGTTGGTATGGTCACAAGAGGGGTGCCAAAGAGGCCCAAGGACTCCCCAGGGCAATGGCTTGTCCCGGCCTTCCTGAGGTACCAACTTTCCCAGGGCTCCTCCCAGAAGCTGACTTGTGGGTAGACGGCTCAGGCCCTAGAGCTGGGAAGGTAGATCATGGGGCTGTGATTCTAAAGAGGCTTCTCTTGTGGAGCATGAAAAGTCAGAGTAATCTGTGCCACTCACTCAGAACCAAACCCTCGACTCCTGGGACATCCACCACAAGGATGAGATTCAACCCTACCTCCCCTCTCAATCGTCACACTGAGCCCAACACCTAGTGGGTTGTCGTGGAGCATGTATTCCAGCAGGAGAGAACAGATAGACGACATACAGTTAGATACACTCCAGAAAGTGGTCGGTGTCAACGAGAAAAATCAGCCAAGATGCACTGGTAGAAAATAAAGGGTATGAGTGATCAGGTTATCAGAGAAGGCTGCTTAGAGGAGGTGACAATGGACCTGATGCTATAGTGATGTCCCCAGGAGAAGCCAAGGAGAAAGCACTCCAGGGAGAGGAAGAGGGTGGGGATGGGGAGAGGTAGACAAGTCTGCAGATCTGGGGGCAGAGCTCACGGGGTTCACATATGTGAGAGAGGGCAAGGGAAGACTCAGGGCTGTAGCCTGAGCAACTGGGCAGATGATGCTACTGTTCTCTGAGATGGGCAGAGGTGGGAAGAAAACATGCCTATGTGAATAGAAGGAGAAGAGCAAGAGTTCGGCCTGAAACATGTTGTTTCTGAGCGGCCCCCGGTCCCCAGGCAGCTGGAGATGCTTTTGCTCTCTCACCCTGACCCCGTCGTTCCCACAGAGTTCTCTGCTCAGTCTCGACCCCAGTCCCCTGGGCCATGTAGCATCCTGGTTCCCAAACCATATCTGGCTCTTGGGCTCTCCCTCCTACCTAACCCTTCCATACAAATGGGCCTGCCCCCTCATTTACCACCAGCTCTGAGGCATCACTCACAACCTCATGACTCAAACATCACCTAACTCAGTATCTGCTATGCCTCCGGGTCTGGCTGGGAGACCCCGGTCCCAGCTGCCCCCTGCAGCCAGTCTCCATGGCACCAGCTTCTGCAACGGGCACATCTGGCTCCTGTCTCACAGGCAGGTATAGGTGGAACTGGGTGCCTGGCACACTGGCAGATCTCTGCAGATCTAAGGAGAACGCCTAGAGAAGCTAAACCAACTGATGGAGATGGCTCAGGCCCTAGAACGGAAGTTAGAAGGCACAGTTTGGAGTACAGAAGGCCTGGGTCAGAACCCCAAGAGTGTCCCTATTACCAGCTCCAGACTATCGCAGAGCCCTTTGGCCTCTTGAACGTGTGGTGGTCCTCTGTCAAGGAGGGATGCTGCTGGGGAGATGTTGGGCAAGTCATTGCCTCTGTGGGGCATCCTCCACTGCAAGCTACAGATGCAGGTGTGAAGGGAAACTGCTTTTCACCTCTGAGACTGGGGGAGAGGAGGAGTAAAGGTTGGGGTTAGTGGGGGGGGGGGCAGGATTCAACTCTTCCTAGCTCCCAAGTCCATGATTTTAAACATGATATCATGGACAACCATTATATATATGTTGAGATCTCCTTCCTATACAACAGAAAGCTGTTAAGACAGGTTGGTGGGGGACGCCTGGGTGGCTCAGCAGTTGAGCATCTGCCCTTGGCTCAGGTCATGACGCCAGGGTCCTAGGATCGAGTCCTGCATTGGGCTCCCCACAGGGAGCCTGCTTCTCCCTCTGCCTATGCCTCTCTCTCTGTGTCTCTCATGAATAAATAAATTCTTAAAAAAAAAAAAAAAGATAGGTGGGTGGGTGGAGAGACATGGCTCCTTATACATGTGTGCATGTGTAAGTGTTAATAATGCCCTAGGAAACACCATCTCACAGGGCAGTTTCCCTCAGCCTTCACACAGACAAGCTCCTTCCTGCCAGCTTTGTAACCTTTGGCGTGCACCACAAATATGAGGGCCGCCAGGGCTGGGCCAGGCCAGGCACATGTGACGTGTTGACAGCACCCCGTGGGTCCACCGTTCACCCCCACCTGCTCCACTCACCTCATGACAAGACCATCTAAGTTTATGTCACTTCCTGTCCAGGAAATCTCTCCCAGGAAAAATTCCTAAATATACAAATAGCTGCATAAATCATATTAACTACTGCATTAGATAGAATACCCAAGGACTGAGATGAGCCTCTGCCTGATAAACCACATCCCATGCACACAATCAAACATTATACAGCTACTTTAAAAAGAGAGGGGGGTTATTGTTAAAGTATGAAGAAAACATGCTGGCTAGCATAGCAAATGATAAAAACAAAACTGTTTATTCAAGATGGCTAGTATGTTGTTGTTGTTTTTTTAAGATTTTATTTATTTATTCATGAGAAGCACAGAGAAAGAGAAAGGCAGAGACACAAGTAGAGGGAGAAGCAGGCTCTCTGCGAGGAGCCCGATGCGGGACTCGACCTCAGAACACTGGGATCACACCCTGAGTTAAAGGCAGACACTCAATCACTGAGCCACCCAGGTGTCCCTATTCAGGATGGTTTAAACCAGTGTTGCCCAAGAGTAATATAATACAAGCCATATACTCAAATTTTTGAGTCACAACATTTTAACAAGTACACATGAAATTAATTTTAATGACATTGTATTTACCTTAATATACCCCAAAGTGTCATCTCAATGTATACTAAATATGAAAAGTTATTAATATTTTATTTTTTTCTATAAAAAGTCTTCAGAATTCAGCACATCTTTGGATTTCTATCTTTGAAATTACAGCACATCTCATGTGGATTTGCCACGTGGCAAGTACATCATAGCCTCACTGGCTTGTAACTACCTTACAGCACGGTGGGTCTGACCCATTAGAAATTTCAAAAAGACTTAGGTACTAGGGAGGAAAACTAGAAGGAAATATCAAAATCTTAATGATCAGAGACTTTTGCTGAAAGGTGGGAATATATATGTGATTTTTTTCCTCCTCTGTTTTCCAAAGTGTCTATAAATAATCAATTCATATTGCTTTTAAACAACAGCAAGTGTCAACTTTTTAATTTTAGAATTGAAGGGATTTAAGAGATCTGACGGTGAACTCCACCTGCTATAGACTGATTTACTGACTCCTCAAGAGAGCTGTCCTGTGTCCCTGACACCTGGCACAGAGTACACTCTCCAAGCTCACTGGCTGCTTAGTTGGTGGGTGGGTGGGTGGGTGGGTAGGCTGGCTGGATGGGAAGAGGGAATCAAGGAGGGAAGATAATACAACAGATACAAGAGAGAACTAAACTCAGACTCTTGTTTCTGAATCCCAAAGTGATCCCTTGCTAGCTGTTGGACTTCAAACAAGGCATGTAACCAACCACTCTGTGCTTTAATTTCCTCAAGTATGAAACAGCAATAATGACAGTATTCCTTCAGAGTTTTGTGAGAATTAAGTGAGATTATCTAGACAAAGTGTTTAGCACGGTGTCTGTCACACAGCCAATGCTTCCAGAAATGCTGGCTGGCTCTACTTATGGTGGTGAGTCAGTGAACCATCAGTGTGGTCAGGCTGTCTACCTCATAAAGCAGCAACACCCAGGACACATGCTAGAGCCACAGGTACTGTGGGTTCCTCCCACTGTGGCATCCTCCCAAGTCCCCCCCCCCCCCCCCAGTTCCCACACCCTGCTTACCTGTACCACTGCTGACCTCACACTGAAGGTACACAGCCAGTCACTGAAACGGGGGTAGCTGTTGAGCTCTGGGGTCCTCTCGCCAGGAGCCACGCTCAGCTTGCACTGCTGCTGTTTGCAAATGTACCGGACCAGCTTTGCCTGTGGGAGCCCAGGGGAAAAAAAGGCCAGTTCATTTGGGGCGCACACATGCATGTGGCAGCCCCAAGCACAATACACAGGAGCCTGCTGTAATCCCCCCTGCGGTCATTCAAACACCGATAAAGTAGGAAATGGAAGGATGAGAAGAGGAGACGGGCGTGAGAAAGCTGGCAGGAGACCTGGAGAGCCACTCGTGACCCCTCTGCACCCTGAGGCTGGCTGACACTGCCTCACCCTCAGGACTCCCATCCTCGGAGATCAACGGGTAACACTGGTCAGGACAGAGAACTGGGTTAACACATAAGAGCCTCCCACCTGGGGAAGCTGGGGGTGTGGGGGGACAGACAGTAAGTGAGGACAAGGAAGATGTGGGGATTTGGGGAGAATGAGTAACCCTCCACTTAGGAACCTTCCAACCTAGTTTCAAACTGCCTAAGTTGGGATCCGGGGACTCAGGCATACCCTAACGAGGGACCCTGAATGAATTACTGAACCCCAACACCCAAAAAGCCTCAGTTTCCTCCTCCAGAAAATGAAGTAATAACAGAACCTCCCTCCCTCTCAGGGAGGCCAAGAAGAAATGAAGCACTTGGTGCATGCCTGGCACACATGAGCATACCACATGCTGGCCATGCCTTTTGGGATGTGGCCTTCTGGGCAAAGGTCCTTGACTTGGGCTCACCAATGGGTTTTTAGGAAGCACACCCCAATATGTATGCAAATTTCAGAGGTACGACTCTGCATTTTCCAGGGGAAGAGTGTCCATAGTTTTCAAAAGCCTCTCAAAAAGCTAAAACTTTAAGAAGGGAAGTTGAAATAAGGACAGCCTGGTCCTCTCTCTGACAAACACTGGGCTCTAACCAGGTGCTCTGCACAGGACTAAAGAATGCAGAGGGAGGGGTGATGGGATGGGCAGGATGGGTGCCCCCATCAGTGCCCAGGGTTTATTAAAAGAAGGTTGAGCTGATAGAACAGATAGAAATGAGCTCACAGTCTCAAGAGGAGGACCAGGGAGCTTCCTGGCTCCGCTGAGATCCAGGGACGCAGAGACTCCATGAGGGCTCCGGTCACACTGGCCTCCCCTTGGTGCCTTTCAAGCTTCCCCAGAAGGAATGCACCTTCAAAGTCTTGTGCAGGAACTCTCCCAAGTAGAGCTACTTCCCAGTACCCCCTGACCTCAAGGGGTTTTGTTGTTCATTCATTCCTTTCTTCCTCATCTGTAAATATCTCAGCGCATTTCTCTAAGGGTAAGGAATCCTTCTGTTACTCACGATACTAGTAATAATAAGTATTCTGTTACTCACAAAAAAGTAATAACAATTAATTAACATTTCAAGTATTTAGAAAGGCTCCCCAATTCCTAACAGGAGCTCTTGACTATTTGGGGACCATGGACCCCTCCCCAGTAGACTAGGGAGGTCCCCAGTCCCTTTCTAAGAATGATGCTTCTAACGAAACACTTAGGATTATAAAGGAAATCAATTCTATTTAAATACATTTCTCAAAATATTTATAATGGTGAAAGAGTACTAAAAGCCCAACTTTCTTCCTTTAAAGATTTATTTATGTGGGGGAGGTGAGCAGGGGGTAGGACAGTGGGCGAGGGAGAGCCCAAAACAGATGACATACTGAGTATGGAGCCTCACAACAGGTTCAAACCCAGGATCCTGAGATCACAACTTGAGCCGAAATCAAGAGTCGGACGCCTAACCAACTGAATCACCCAGGCGCCCCCAAAAGCCCGTCTTTATTACAGCATGAAACAATAGCTGGCTGTGGGTCTCATAACTATGACAGCTTTTATATTGTGACAAGTGTCAACTACTTTTTTAGATATAGCCACAACTGTAAGGTGATATGCAAACAGCTGTGCTTTTCGCTGGTGACTGAGTCACACATATATGCTAAGATGACTGTGCCTTGTTGCCTACATTCAAACTGAGTAACATTAAATTCCAGTTAAGGTTAATGAAAATAAAGGTTCCTTTTTTCCCCCTACAAATTCATGGATCCCCTGAATTCTATCCACAGGTAAAGAATCCTTGTGGGGCACTTGGGATGCTCAGTTGGTTAAGCATCTGCCTTCAGCTCAGGTCATAATCTGGGGGTCCTGGGATGAAGCCCCACAGCAGGCTCCTACTCAGTGGGGAGCTTGCTTCTCTCTCTCCCTCTGCTCTTCCCCCAGCTCATGCTCTCCCTCTCTATTTCTCTCAAATAAAGTCTTTTTTTTTTTTTTAAAGAATTCACTTATTTATTAATGAGAGACACAGAGAGAGAGAGAGAGAGAGAAGCAGAGATACAGGCAGAGGGAGAAGCAGGCTCCATGCAGGGAGCCTGACGTGGGACTTGATCCCGGGTCTCCGGAATCACGCCCTGGGCTGAAGGCAGCGCTAAACCGCTGAGCCACCTGGGCTACCCTCAAATAAAGTCTTAAAAAAAAAAAAAAAAAAAAAGAGTCCTTGTGAGATGTGAAACGAGACCCACACTGACAACAAAACAAGACCATTTGCTTCTCCATCAGCCTTTCTGAAAATTCCCCTAGAAACTCTGGTCCCAGGACTAGACTCAGGGATACCCACCCCTTCGTACGGCCCTGAGCACCATTATGTGCCACCACCTCCAGAGGGCTCAGTGGCAAGTGGGCACAATTGCCAGGGAGGGAAAAGGGAATCAAAACAAAAATGATTCCAATTTCCAGTTTCGATGTTTAGAGAAATCTACACAGAGGCAGACCCCTGGCCTTCCTGCACCACGGGCCCCGCAGGCACCCCAAGCTGACACTGCTAATCAAACACTCTCTGCGGAGGCTTTACACCCCTGAGTGACACGGCTAACAGAACACCACTCTGTACAATCCCAAGTGCCACTTGAGAAGTACATCCGCTGTCCTACCATGGAACTAAGCCCCGGGAACATCTTCAGAGCACAGTTAACAAACAGGAAGATGTGAGTGCCACTTTTATCCTACAGGGTTAAGTAAAGGCACTCCTGTCCCCCCCATCCGGCCTAACCTCACAACAATCTATCCCTTCCAGTGTGACCAGAGGCCGAGGACTCCCCACCTTCCTTCCCAGGCTCATCTCTGCTCCCCTCCACCCCTGGCTCACCCTGCCCTGCAGGTGCACACTCACCTAGGAGCTATTTCTCCAATACTTCCTGTACTTTCCTACCCCTGGGCCTCTGCTCAAGCTGCGTGCAGTGGTTACAAGTCCTTCCCTCCCCTGGCCACGGCATCCTCGTGCTGGGCAAGACTTCCCAGGCCTTCTTACAGTCCCCGTCTCCCCTTCTGCACATGTGCTCTACATCTCTACGGCTGCACCCCCAACCGGTGTGAGTTCCCAGGGCAGCAGACACAGCACCGGGCCCCGGAGTTGAGCCAAATCAGGATTCAAATGTAGGTTCTACCCCACGTTCACAGTTATATGACTTCGGGGAAGTTTGTTCATCTTTCTGAGTTTTGGTTCTCTCATCTGTACAACGACAGGCATGATGACATCCAGCCCATGCTCTGTTGGGGGAATCGAACAGTACAGAAAAACCCTGAGGATACGTAAGTCCCCAGATTATTACGTATCAGGTCAGGACCGTGTCCATCTCATCTGTGACCGTCCCCACCTGCCTATTACTGCACCTGGTATGCAACATATGCTCAAAACGGCCCAAGGAAGGAAGGAGGCAAGGACACACATGGACCACAGCCCCATGCTGAAGCCACTCTTTCCCTCCATCCCAGCCACTCTCCAAACATGGCTCAAAGAGCTGGCCAAAGACAGGGCAAAACATCAAATAACTGTCCAGAGTCCAAACCGTTAAGCAGAGGTCTGGCACTCACAGCAGATCAAGACTGGCCCCCTTGGCCTCAGCCATGAGAGCCAGGGTCCCGGCTTCCTAGACTTCAGCCCCTTCCCACATACCCAGCCCCTTTCGGCCTCAAGGCTCTCTGCCCAGAGGCTCTCTTCCGTAACCTCTGGGCCACAGCTCAGCTTAGAACTCCATTCTTCCAGAGAGCACTGCCCATGCCCCTCAGCCCACCTCCCTGACCAGAACACACAACCAAGTTCTAATATTTTACTCTTCTGATTCCCACCGTATGCCCCCCCCCTCCCCCGGTCAGGTGTCTGCTGTGTTCGGATCCCTGCTACGAACCAGCAGAGCCCCCAGAGCACACGGTCTGCTACTGTAAAACCTCTGCTGGACGAATGGACACAGGAACACACAATCTACCTTGGAGTCCTGCCAGGCTCAGACATTTACCAGAATGAGAGCAGAAAATAAAGGCTAACTATGCAAGTGGTCACTCAGGAGCTCAACAGTCTCAAAAGGCAAGGCAGGTTCCCCAGAAGAGGAATGAGTGGGCTTCTCTTCTTAAAGGTTGCTAGAGATCCCTGCTAGACAGCACAGAGGCTGGGTAGGATTCTGCAGAATGTGAAGGGACTCCTCACTACACCCAGTTAACAACCCATATGCCTGGCTGGCTATGCTGGGACAAGGAAAGACACACAGCGCGCTGTGACCCATCTGCCAGCAGGTCTGATGCTCTGGCAGCTGCTATCTATCCCCCGGAGCTCATAAAGAAACACCTCATAGGTCTGGTTTCTGCTAAAGCAGCAAAACTATTCTCATTCAAAAAAAAAAAAAAAAAAAACAACTATTCTCATTCACAGAGGATGCAGGTACCCAGCATGCAGCAGCTTCCATCTGAGTAAGCCAGTCTGCCTCACTTTTTGGAAAGTTGGTCACAGTCACAGAAGCAACCAGGGGCTACTTTCCCAGACAAACCACAGTGGGACCTGCCAGCCCAGCCCCAGGGGCCTACAAGGGGACCGTTCACAGGCAGTGTCATTTTTTTCTTAACCACAAAACCGCAAGATAGAAATTTTCCGGAATAGAAAAGCACCTGGGGTTTCAGCGAAGGAACGTGCAGCAAGAGGGAAAGACTTACTGGCTCTCTGGTCGCTGGGGAGGACCCCAGGCCGGAAGTGAACTCGTAACCCCACCCC